TTATTCAAAGTTAAGGTGAACCAACATATTGGAAGTGAAGAACTGAAAGGATCTCACGTTTTACATTCAGTGTGAATTTTGAGGAGGATGTTTGCCCTCCATTAAATCCAGCTGTGCATGTCAGCTCTCTGTTGTCATCCTTCTCCTCAGGAATAAATGTCAGGATGGACAGTGTCTCCCAGTTGCCAGAATGAATTAGTCTATGGTACACGATCCTTTCTGTCTTCCAGTTCCATGTAAGTGTAGGTACATGGGTTGGACAGGTGTGCATGACTGAACAGATGGCAGTGTAGGGCTCTCCTTGAGTGGCTGCCATTGGCTGAGTCAATGTAGGCTCTGCAGGGTCAGCTGAAGATGAAAAAGGCAGACATACAGTAAGAGGCAAAGGGATTTAACAGAAAACTGGTATAGATATTTGGAATTGGAAGGTGGAAAGTTGGTGACATACTGATCATGTTCAACTCGACGCAGTCTTTATCAAAGGAGAACATGTCCTTTGTGGGTTCATTACCTTCTCCTTTTACTACTTCAACTCTGAAACAGAAAGGGCCATTGTCATGATTTCTAATTTGAGTTATTTCTAAGGTGCAGTTGTTCTCGCCCAGCTCTCCCAACATCTTTGTTCGGCCCTTAAAGTTGTCCTTAATCAGTGTAGCATCACTATGAAAGATGTTGTTTCCTTTAGTATCTGGTGTTTTGCCTTTATAGTGCCACATTGCTCTGAGTCTGGAGGAGGGCAGGTTTCCTCCAGTATGGGAGAATGAACATGGTACCACAACACAGGATCCAACCAGAGCGTCAATGCTTTTTACAACAGTGGCCTTCCATTCATCACTGGACACGGCGCTACAGATGACTGAAAGAGAATTAAGCGAATGTCACTTATAAAGGTATAGAGCACTTATAAAACAATTGTAAATAAAAAGCTGGCTCATTACCTGCAAAAATCAGACAAGTTATCATAAACTTTGCCTCTTTGTCCATGCTTCTCCTTTGTGTAACACACTGGAAAAATAAATAAACTGAACAAATTAGCTGTCAAAAATGAAGCAACTTGAAAAATATATTCATATGAAATTTAAATCATTAAGATTTTCATATGTATTACTATATATACTCTCTGTATTTTGTCACTGCCTTGCCTCTGTCATTTATATTTTGCCTGTTTTATTTTTACTTGTATGCAGCAAATCGCTCACTACCCTCAGTAGTTCCTTATCTTTGTATATTTAAAGTCTTTGCCATTTGACATCAAACTGTAAGAGGGCATCAGGGGTTCTTAGATCCTTCAGTGACTATAAAATATAAAAAAATAAACATGACCAGGTCAGAGCTTCAAATCTGGCAGTATCTCTATGCTTTGACATCATTCATTACTGTGAAATTCTTAGTAAGTTACATAAGCTACAGTATTGCACAACAGTCTTGAGCCACTGTTCATTTCTCTATATTTTGCTAGGAAAATGAGAAATAAGTGCAGATATTTACTAAAATATTTACCAACACATGGAAATACAGCACATAAAGAAAAAACAAGTTTTTGTAATTCTAACAAACTTAAAGTTGATATTTGGTTTGAACACCTTTATTCTCCAAGACAGCCTTTACTCTTTTATGCACGCTTTCTTGTTATTTCACTAAGATGTCTTAAGCAATAGTTCTCAAGGCTTCTTGAAGGACACTGAATGCTTTCTTTTGTTCCTTCCTCTTTCAATGCCCATTTAGCCAATGTCCAAAGAAAAACTTTGAAAGACCTTCAGAGAACTATTTTTCAAGACTTGTTATCTAATAATCATATAATCATATAAATATCTTACCTGCTGTCTGGCTGATTTATATAAGGCTGATTGATATAAGGCAACAAAACACTTTAGCAATGTGTCTGAGTCTTTCAGATTTTTACTTTCAAATCCCCCTCAAAGGGACCACCCATACCTCTGACTGCAGACAGAAGCACAGCCTTCTAATTGTTTTTTTTAAAAAAATAAAATATGCTTTTCTTTGTGACATGTTAGTTAGTTTCAGTTCTCCATGAACACTTTATCTCACTACAATAATCTGTACCCTTTTTTCTTCCCAGTTGAACTAAGATAGTGATATCTTAATATGATTCCATATTTTTTTCAAAATATTGTTTATTTGTAAAACATCTGTGGAGAATAGATCAGTGTACCATGGAGCAAAGGCTCATTTCTGAGAAGTATTACCGGAAATTAATAAGGATACCAACATATTGCACATTACATTTAATATGTAACACATGGATTTTATTTTATATTTACCTTATCTAGGTTTTACTAAACTCTAAATTAATAAATAATAATGGGTGGGACAGTTATTGGTATGCACTATACTACCACACTAGTTTCAAATTCAGTGGCTGGCCAGGGCCTTTGTGTGTACAGTGACATGCGCTCCGTGTTTCCCGTGTGACTTCTGCGCCTTTCTTCCACAATCTAAAGACCTGCATGTTAAGTTAATTGGTGATTTTAAAATGGACTTTAGGCGTGAATGTGAATGTGAGCTCAAATGGCTGTTTGTCTCTCTATGTCTCTCTTTGATAGATGGGTGAACTGTGCAGTTTTCAGCCCACCTCTATCCCCCAATGGATGGAACAACAACAACAACAACAACAACAACAACAACAACAACAACAACAACAACAA